CTGTTTGCTTTAGTCGAAACAAGTCCATTTTAAACCAATTAAATTTTATTTAAATCCTAATTTCTACGGCCCTGTTAACTCATGCTATCAATATTTTGAGGAACCACATCATTTTGCCTCAATAGTGTTGCTTGATTATTTACATCATATTGCTTTACCAACATATTTTCCTATATGCTGTCCAATTGTTGAGGTGGGACTAACTCAAGTAATGACTTAATGCTAGTATTATCTATGATCTTTCTGGCAAAGTAGGTAAAGAAAACTTACAAACCCTGTTTTGTTAATTATATTTAATAATATTATCAATTGTTTGCGTCAAAGCCTTGGGATTGAATGCCACTTTGATTAATCTGGAACATCCTAGAACAACGTTGACAGCAACAACCAAACTTTACTCGACTAGGTTGTTCTGCACACCGAGTAATTGATGCCATTCACTAAAACCATTTAGAGGAAGATCATTTTTAATAGTTTCTCCTTAGGTTTTCTTTAGTTATCCAGTTTTCCTCTTCCCCATTTAATCTTTAACAGCCTAATGTGCAAAATTACACCATTTACTACATGAAATTAATAACAAGAACCTCTTCCCGTTTGGATAAATGGGTTTTTATTGAGTCATTTGACCTGTGAGTTCCAGCATGAAAAAATAAAAGGCATACTAAATTACTTTTCTATACATTATATTTTATATCTTAGATTCTTTACACTTCCTAATGATGCAGAAATCTCAAGCTTCCCTCTCGGCGACCTTCTGTTGTATGTGAGAATTGCCTGTACTCTCTACAGAGAGATATGCGAGCAAGAGCCTTTCACATTTTGGAGCCAAAAGGCACTGTTGATATGCTTATCATCTTCCTAGAGGAAAGAAGTGATGGGACTCCTCCTCTACTTGACAGTTCTAGGGTGAGCTTAACTTAGATGTGTAACTTTCTCTTTTGGTGTGTATATCTAATGCAGATTTTCCAGTCCCCACCCAAGCTAGTGCAAGTTTTTTTGTAAAGGAGTTTTACTTCAAGAGTTCTACCAGCTTTTTACAGCAGCAGGACAAGATCTTATGTCTAAAGTTTCTTATGACCTCTCCATTCCTTTTGAATTGATGTCAGGATGCGAAGAGTAGGATTATACCTTTTCTTGGTAAATGGAAGGGCCATTCCATTACAAAACGAAGTGGTGTATATGGATCTACAATTGCTAATGCAGATACTGTTGTTTTACATGAGATGGATGACAATGGCCAACTTATTCAGGTATTTTACAACTTAATAAGAAAAGTCGCCTTGACATAGTGAAATTGTAGTTTAACAGAATTCTTAAAGCATTCAATTTTGCAAATAGTTTGTGGAAAAGTCAAAATTTTAATTGCAAGATAGTTTATTTATGCCCTTTGCCTCTTTTGCCTTGTTAGTTCTACTATGTGAGGCATATAGAATCTTTATTGAGTGACATTCTCTTCTGTCTACTTCCTCACCCCACCATTTCAGGTTCTGTTGGTATATATTTGATTTGAGTAATGTACTAATGTTTGTTAAACAAGCAATTTCTTCTATTTGTCTCCACAAAAGTCCTTTCCCCTTACCTTCATGTGTTGTGGACTTGTGGACCGCAAGATGTTTTAAAATTAGGACAAAACTCAGGCACTGAACCATAGTACCATAGGTATTGTTGGTGTCATTGTTGGTGTCGTTCTCCAATTAAAATTAAAATTTTACTTCAGTAATATACATTTACATTTAATACAAGATGAGATTTCAATTTTGATTAGAAAACAATACAAACAGTACCCATGGTACTATACTTACGTTTTGTGCTTAAAATTAATACTACTTTCTCAATACTAGAGTTTTTTTGTTGTTGATGCTGTTATTGGAATGGATATCAGGATGTTACTTCAACATCTGAAGGGGAAAATGTTACTACCAACGTGCATTGGACTGGCACAGTGTCAGACTATTTGGTTACATTTGATGGAGGTTATCAGATGATACTATTACCCAGTGGTATGTACATGGGGTGCCCTTGTGATGTAGCAAAAAGTGTGGCAGAATCAAAATCGTTCCATTTGGAGTTCTGTTGGTTGGAGACACCTGACAAGAGGCAAAGACTTGTTCGAACATATGATGTGCAAGGCTTGGCTGTCTCATCTACTTATTTTTTTGAGACCAAATTGTGAATCCTATGTTAGCTTTTTCTCTAAAATCGTTCAGAGAGTTGATTGTGTATCTATATTTTTCTTTTTTGCATCCATTGAATGAATAATATTAGTTAATATATTTATTGAGCCTCTGGTGGAATGTAGTTTGATTGAAGAAAATCCAACACACTGGTAAACTTGATCAAACCAAATTTGAGGTCTTATTTTAGATTAAAAATCCAACCTCGGTTCAAATGATAGATGTCACCTCATAAAACAGTTTGCAATTAGAATATTATATAGAGCAAATCTATATACTTTTATACTATCTACAAATCTACAAATAAAGGAGAGTCAAATGGAAACTTTTGCCACATGTCATCTTCTCATGCAACCTACTAATGGAACCCAAAAAGAAAATTAGCTACTTTTAATTAAAATTTTCCAAGTATAAGAAATATATAAAATATTATTTACTTCTATAAAAACTATTTAAAAGTCATAAATATGATAATTTACTATTGATTGATAATATAAAACTAAATTTTTTTATACTTAGGAAGGGGAAAAGCTTAAAAACTCCAATTTCAAATGCAAACATAGAAACACCATTTTCATTGATGTACAAAATAAAATGCCAGTAGTTATATATGAAATATAGCATGTACTGCATAAGGGTAATTAAAGCTTTTCTTGAAATGACTTATATTGTATCAGTAGAGAAGGGAAAAAAATCTTCAAAAAACCCAATATAACGGAAGATTCAAGTGAAAAAAAGAGAGAGAAAAGAGAGGAGTTTCCATAACAGAACAATCTCAAAATAAAAATTGTCTCAAGAGCATAAATGCATTATTGAACACTTGTTCCTTTGCTTGCCATATTACACATTATTTTATAAACGACTGGAGCTGGGTTCTTAACAATTAGTTTCTACCTAAACTCCAGTTAAATTCCAAAAACTGCGTAGCTAAAAAGTACAGGTTACCTTTAACTAGTATTTAGACGAAGTTGATATAATATATTACCCTTGGGTAGGGATGACAATCAAACTAAGACGAAATCAACTACCCATAAAACTAAAAATGATCCATATAAGACTGAATACAAATTTTAAGTCACGGTCAACAAAATTTAATTTGATACGTACTAAAAATAATGTAGAAATAATATAATGATATAGTAGTTTGTGATAATGTTATTTTATGATATTTGTCTGAGGAGATACTTTATAAGTGTTATTTTTATAAGGTTATTTCACACATAACTTCATAATGATTAGATATTGTCCGCTTTAGACATGTTATTTCTTTTCTTATTTTATTGATATGAGACTTGTTTGTATCAGTTATAAGGATTGTCACTGAATCCAACCTTGTGGCTTTGATATCACTGATGGGCTTAAACCCTCACAGTTTTGTTTTTAGTCATCACCTAAAAGGCTTCTTAATCATTGAAGTATGCTTGTGTTTTATAAGTTATATTTTCTTATCTTATTTTATTGACGTGAGACTTGTTTATATTCCAATAATTTGGATTGAATATATTTTTCCTGAAAACTCTAAGGTTAGCATGTTTTAAAAATATTTATTGCTTTTCTGTTTTTTTAAATATAACATTTTCTATTTTAGAGATAAAAAATATCAACTCTTGACTTTGCTGATAGATATATTTATATTAACACGAAGTTGATAACCAACAAAAATAAAAACCTGTAAAAATTTTCTCACGCTACACAAATTATTTTAAAAGAAATGCTAAAAGCACCCATTACTTTTCAATCATATAAGATCATGTTTAGACAAGAACATGTTTGAAATGAGGAAACAAGAAGGTAATCGTTCTAGCTTGCAAATATTTGTTTACATCAACTGAATTAAATACTTAACACAAAAATACATAAAATACTTACATTATATCATTTATAAGAAGTAAAAATTTTCAGTTTACATAAATCTATTATTAATAAAATAGATATATTAATCATAAAAATATATTAAATGAGTTGAGATATGTTAGTACCATGTATAGATCTAAAGATTGAAACAAAATTTTATAATTTTAATAATTTTTTATTCAATGCAAATTTATCCGATCTAACCACTAAATTATGTGATATTATACTTTAAAATTATATATATCGAATTTCACATGATTCCAAAATTATTTAATGGTTCATCACATTATTTTACTTTAACATATATAATATGGTATTTAAAATGTGTAAATATAAATTTTAGGATAACATATATAGAAAAGTTCAAATAATGTAAAATTTGATATACATGTTCTTAAATATACATATAATCTAACGATTCAATCATTTTATTTGACATTATACAAAAAATTATTGAAAATATAAGATTTTATGTAAATTTTTAAACTTGATATCAACGAATTCTGTCTCATTAATTTTTTTTTATAATTACATCTTTTTATAAAATTCTTCTTTAACAAAAATAAAAAAGTAAATAACATTATCGGTCTTCTTAAAACTATTTTATAAAATTATAAACACTAAAAAGATAATTAAATGTATTTTTAATAAATTTTAAGAATCCCGTGCATTGCATCTTGTGTAGTATTTCCCAATAGGATGGATCTATCAGAATGAGAATTAACTCTAATGACACAATAGAATATAAATTTATATGTTATATCCTACATATAAAATATGTTAATGTAATTTTACACAAAATGAAATACACAATCGCGCGTAGTGATGATAGTAATTTTTTAGTACATGCCTATTGAATTCAAATTTCAATGTTTGAAACATTTTTAAGAATAAATCGGACGGAAACAAAATGAAGAATCAGCATATTCCAATATAATAACGGAGATGCCGATGTTAACATGGCAACAGCACATGACATTGAACTACTTAACTTCAAATTCAAGTATCCACAGTAGCACCACGATGATCAACCTCGTTAATAATCTAGTTTAGTTATCCTTAAACACGTCAACATCCTCAGAAACAGAACGGTTCATTCATTTTGTGTCGGAAATGAAAACCTTCACCTTTGGCATGTCACTGGCCATGGTTTTGGTGATGATGAGCAACATAATCATCATCATGGCAGTGACTGAGAGTCACATTCCCACCACTTTGGATGGCCCATTTGACCCTGTGACCCGCCGGTTCGACCCGTCACTGCGACGGGGCAGTGATGACTTGCCCATGACTCATCCAAGGCTCAGAAAGAATGTCACTTTAAATTTCCCTGAACAGATTGCTCTTGCAATTTCCTCACCAACTTCTATGTGGGTTTCTTGGGTCACTGGTACTTTATCTCCTCTCCTCAGAATTTCCAAAACTTTTGTTCTTTTTAAAGATTCAATAGTATATGCATTTACAATTATGAGCATGTAGATCAACTGGTAAAGGATTGTTTCAGTTTAATGAATGATTCGAGACTGTGTTCGAGTCTGTGTCTTATACAGAAGTATATGCATTTATAGTATAAAGGAATTTTACACTCTCGTCTAATAGTTTTATCACAAATCCTTGTGTGTTCATCCTAACCATGGTTTCTGATTGGTTGATAGTATACAAGTTGTAGCATTGTCGATACATAGAAATTAAACTTTTTTTTTAGTTGATGATTATGGTGTTGTATTCTAAAGCATCAAGTTGTTCTTACATGGTTGTGTTGTTTGGTTTTGGATAAGGGGATGCACAGATTGGCCTCAATGTGACCCCTGTGGATCCTGCATCTGTTGGAAGTGAGGTGTGGTATGGGAAAGAGAGTGGCAAATACACAGGTGTTGGGAAAGGTGATTCTGTTGTTTACAGTCAGTTGTATCCCTTTGAAGGCCTCTGGAATTACACCTCTGGTATCATTCACCATGTGAAACTCGAAGGTACGTTGAGTTTCTTCTTGTTTAAACTTTTGCTGAAATGGAAGGTAGTGTTTGTTTGGTGCTGAGTTGGAAGCAGTTATTATTGACAAAGGACATACCACTGGTTGATTTTGTAGAAACTATGTAGATGTGTTCATATAGACATGGTTTAATTTATGACATGGTTAGATTGGTGTAGCCGATCCAACCAGTGGGAAAAGGCTTGGTTGTTGTTATTGTTGGTGATATTAAGTTCTTGGATGCATTACTTCAGTTTGATGTTTGCCTTGTGACATGATTGGCAAAATAATAATTGATTGTTGGATAGATGAATTTGCTCCTATTTATTTGTCCGATAAATTTGTGAAAGGTATTTATTTTGATAAAATTCTTTTAATGGAAAGCTGTTTTTATGGTCTCCAAATCTCTGCTTCTTTCTGTATGCTACGCATTCCAGTCAAAAGTTGTGGTATATGTATAACTTTGTTCATTGCAGTTTCAGACTTCTCAGTTCTGGAACCATCTACATTCTTCATTTATTGCTCTTCTAATCATATCCCCTATCATATAACAAAATCTAATCATTTATTGTTAAAAATAAAATTTGAAATAAAGTATCAGAATCTGAAATGCTTAATGGTACTTGTTTCTTTCTTGGTGTAGGTCTTGAGCCTGGAACCAGATATTATTACAAGTGTGGGGATAGTTCTATTCCAGCCATGAGCCAAGAGCATTTTTTTGAGACTTTTCCAAAACCAAGTCCAAATAATTATCCAGCTCGAATAGCAGTTATTGGAGATTTGGGCCTCACAAGCAATTCTACATCAACTATTGATCATCTCACTTACAATGATCCTTCAATGATTCTAATGGTTGGAGATTTAACATATGCAAATCAGTATCTTACAACGGGTGGAAAAGGAGCTTCATGTTTTTCATGTGCATTTCCAGATGCTCCTATCAGAGAGACATATCAACCCCGATGGGATGGGTGGGGAAGGTAACCTACCTGAAGTTCTGAGTTCTATGACAATTTATGTAATAAAGTCTTAGCTGAAGCATACTGACCTTTTTGTATATTAAAGTATTGAACAGAACAATAACTTAACAAAGTTCACTTTGCTCCATCTAAACTTGGGGATGAATAGGCATTTTACTTCCTAATTTTGAAAATGATAATTGTGCAACCTAATTTATTAAGAGTATGTTTGGATACCAGTTTAAAACCATATTCAACGAAAAACACGTGTTTCGATAAAAAAAAAAGTAAAATCTTGTAACTGTAGTTTCTTTTTTTTCAACCCCATTTGGTTCCCAAACACACCTGAAGCTGGCACAAAAATATTAGTGAACAGTTACTAGCTTTTGCTAAATGTTTCTTCTGCTTTGTTATTATTCTGCATTTTCTTTCGTTTAGTTGTATGTTGTTGGGCTTGTGAAATGCTACATTATTACTACTTTGTTTGATAGGTCTATTTCTAAACAATGTTAATAATAATATCCATCTTATGCTCAGTAGACAAACATATTGGGGAGGGGATGGTAGTGAAATATTAGAATCTCTTACACAAATAGTTGATGGACAAACCACTATTTAGTTGAAAAAAAAATTTGTTTTTTGATACATCAGGTTTATGGAGCCTTTGACCTCAGAAGTTCCAATGATGGTTATTGAAGGGAATCATGAGATTGAACCTCAAGCTGGTGGGATCACATTCAAATCATACTTGACGCGATTTGCAGTTCCTGCCGAAGAAAGTGGCTCTAAAAGTAACTTCTACTACTCTTTTGATGCTGGGGGCATACACTTTATCATGTTGGGAGCATATGTTGATTACAATAGTACTGGTAAATAATAACTGATACAGTTTATTTTATCTCATGTAAACCAGTCAATGCATATAATTTTAGATGGTTGAAAAATTAATGTTTCACTGGATCTCTTCAATCCAGGAGCACAGTTTGCATGGCTGAAGCAAGATCTGAAAAGTATAGACCGTAGTGTAACCCCTTGGTTAGTAGCTGCATGGCATTCTCCTTGGTATAACAGCTATGCTTCACACTATCAAGAATTTGAGTGTATGAGATTGGAAATGGAAGAACTTCTCTATCGATACAGGGTTGACATTGTTTTTAATGGTCATGTAAGTTAAATTTACTCTATTTTTTTTATAAAAAAAATTTGTATCAATTTTAGAACATTAAAAATATCCAAGATTTCTCTTCAGTTTTACATATGTTTTCTTTTATGATTGAGTTATGTTGTTAATATATTATTGGATTACGTAAATATGAAAAAAAATATGATTGAGTTATGTTGTTTATGATTGAGGTATGATTGAGTTATGTTTTCTTTTAAGGATATGAACTTAATCCATGGATGTTGCTTTATTTTCTTGTTAACTTATTTATACCAAGGAAATTTTCATCAAAATATGTAAAGATATAAACCTTCTTCCGGCAATGATATCTAATTTTGCATACAGTTTTTTCAATTAAATTATTCGTCTGTTAATATGCAATATTGATCGTAACACTTGATGCAACCGATTTTTGCTGGGGTTTTAATATCTAGTCAATTATAAGAGAACAAGGATATGACATTCCAGTCAGTGGTAACACCTTCTTTAAGTAGTTGAACCTTTCAAATAATCGTATCGTGACCATAATCATCTGAGTGCAATACTTTTGCCTTAGAGTTGTCCTATTGGTCATGGTTCTCGTTATGAATAAATTACTGTGCCATCATGAGGGGTTTTTGAATGAATTCAGAATCTGAGTTGTATGAAATCATTTTAGATGAACAGAATTTTAAAATACTTAGCTGTGCTGTATGTACCGGTTTGATAGTTCCAAATGCATTGGATTTTGTAGCTTATTAACTTTATTCCTGCTGCTAAAAATTTAGATCT